GCAGTGAGAGGCAGGGAGAGGCAGTGATAGGCAGGAGAGGCAGTGAGAGGCAGGGAGAGGCAGTGAGAGGCAGGGAGAGGCAGTGAGAGGCATGAAGAGGCAGGGAGAGGCAGTGAGATGCAGTGAGAGGCAGAGAGAGGCAGGGAGAGGAAGTGAGGCAGGGAGAGGCAGTGAGAGGCAGGGAGAGGCAGTGAGAGGCAATGAGAGGCAGGGAGAGAGCAGTGAGAGGCAGGGAGAGGCAGTGAGAGGCAGGAGAGGCAGGAGAGAGCAGTGAGAGGCAGTGAGAGGCAGGGAGAAGCAGAGAGAGGCAGTGAGAAGCAGGGAGAGGCAGTGAGAGGCAGAGACAGTGAGAGGCAGGGAGAGGCAGTGAGAGGCAGGGAGAGGCAGTGAGAGGCAAGGAAAGGCAGTGAGAGGCAGTGAGAGGCAGGGAGAGACGTGAAGCAGCAGCACCTAGCTGGTAGAGAGGCAGTTAAACCAGCAACAACACAAGTCTGAGAGGTAGTAACACCAGCAACAACACAAGACTGAGAGGCAGTAAGCACCAGCAACAAACAAGACTGAGAGGCAGTAACACCGGACAAACACAAGATTGGAGAAGCAGTAACACCAGCAACAACACAAGATGAGAGGTAGTAACACCAGCAACAACACAGGACTGAGAGGTAGTAACACCAGCAACAACACAAGACTGAGAAGTAGTAACACCAGCAACAACACAAGACTGAGAAGCAGTACACCAGCACACAACACAAGACTAAGAGGCAGTAACACCAGCAACAACACAAGACTGAGAGGCAGTAACACCAGCAACAACACAAGATTGAGAAGCAGTAACACCAGCAACAACACAAGACTGAGAGGTAGTAACACCAGCAACAACACAAGACTGAGAGGTAGTAACACCAGCAACACAAGACTGAGAGGCAGTAACACCAGCAACAACACAAGAATGAGAAGTAGTAACACCAGCAACAACACAAGACTGAGAAGCAGTAACACCAGCAACACAAGACTAAGAGGCAGTAACACCAGCAACAACACAAGTCTGAGAGGCAGTAACACCAACAACAACACAAGACTGAGAGGCAGTAACACCAGCAACAACACAAGACTGAAAGGCAGTTAAACCAGCAACAACACAAGACTGAGAGGCAGTAACCTAGCAACACCAAGACTGAGAGGCAGTAAACCAGCAACAACACAAGACTGAGAGGCAGTAACACCAGCAACAACACCAGACTGAGAGGCAGTTACACCAGCAACAACACAAAACTGAGAGGTAGTAACACCAGCAACAATACCAGACTGAGAGGCAGTAACACCAGCAACAACACAAGACTGAGAGGCAGTTACTCCAGCAACAACACAAGACTGAGAGGCAGTAACACCAGCAACAACACAAGACTGAGAGGTAGTAACACCAGCAACAACATAAGACTGAGAGGCAGTAACACCAGCAACAACACAAGACTGAGAGGCAGTAACACCAGCAACAACATAAGACTGAGAGGCAGTAACACCAGCAACAACACAAGACTGAAAGGCAGTAACACCAGCAACAACACAAGACTGAGAGGCAGTAACACCAAATAGAGCACAAGACTGAGAGGCAGTAACACCAGCAACAACACCAAGACTGAGAGGCAGCAACACCAACAACAAGACCGAGGCAGTAAGCACCAACCAACAACACCAAGGACTGAGAGGCAGTAACACCACAACAACACAAGACTGAGAGGCAGTAACACCAGCAACAACACAAGACTGAGAGGCAGTAACACCAGCAACAACAACAAGACTGAGAGGCAGTAACACCACAACAACACAAGACTGAGAGCAGTAACACCAGCAACAAACAACAAGACTGAGAGGCAGTAACACCAACAACAACACAAGACTGAGAGGCAGTAACACCAACAACAACACAGGACTGAGAGGCAGTAACACCAGCAACAACACAAGACTGAAAGGCAGTAACACCAGCAACAACACAAGACTGAGAGGCAGTAACACCAACAACAACACAAGACTGAGAGGCAGTAACACCAGCAACAACACAAGACTGAGAGGCAGTAACACCGGCAAGAACACAAGACTGAGAGGTAGTAACACCAGCAACAACACAAGACTGAGAGGTAGTAACACCGGCAAGAACACAAGACTGAGAGGTAGTAACACCAGCAACAACACAAGACTGAGAGGCAGTAACACCGGCAAGAACACAAGACTGAGAGGTAGTAACACCAGCAACAACACAAGACTGAGAGGCAGTAACACCGGCAAGAACACAAGACTGAGAGGTAGTAACACCAGCAACAACACAAGACTGAGAGGCAGTAACACCAGCAACACAAGACTGAGAGGCAGTAACACCAGCAACACAAGACTGAGAGGTAGTAACACCGGCAAGAACACAAGACTGAGAGGCAGTAACACCAGCAACAACACAAGACTGAGAGGCAGTAACACCGGCAACAACACAAGACTGAGAGGTAGTAACACCAACAACACAAGACTGAGAGGCAGTAACACCAGCAACACAAGACTGAGAGGCAGTAACACCGGCAAGAACACAAGACTGAGAGGCAGTAACACCAGCAACAACACAAGACTGAGAGGCAGTAACACCAGCAACAACACAAGACTGAGAGGCAGTAACACCAGCAACAACACAAGACTGAGAGGCAGTAACACCAGCAACAACACAAGACAGAGGTCAGTAACACCAGCAACAACACAAGACTGAGAGGCAGTAACACCAGCAACAACACAAGATGAGAGGCAGTAACACCAGCAACAACACAAGACTGAGAGGCAGTAACACCAGCAACAACACAAGACAGAGGCAGTAACACCAGCAACAACACAAGACTGAGAGGCAGTAACACCAGCAACAACACAAGACTGAGAGGCAGTAACACCAGCAACAACACAAGACTGAGAGGCAGTAACACCGGCAAGAACACTAGGTAACCATATTTACCATCACAAACGTACTGAAATGTGGCAGGGAAAGTGCGTGGAGTTTTTTCGACCTGTAGAGATACTGGGACTAACGAACGTAGAATATGAAAGCAGAGAAACATGGGTAGAAAGGATGGGATAAATACGGAAATAAGGTAGGGAAAGAAAGCCAGGTTTAAGGCTAGTTCACAGGCACAGAGCTGGAGTCACTAGCACAGGTGTAATAACAGAGTATAATGCCCTCTGGTGAAACACTCCCATCAGAAATCACTTGTATTTGTGATGCTTGTTGAGGTGGTGGTGTTGACCAGGCGGGAGTGTACCCTGTTGCAGGAGCGGGTCACCCGGGTGATGATACCCAGACATTAACATATAATTATACCCTGGGCACTAATGTGACTCTGGTGAGGACATTGTTGCTCCCAGCACTCGTCTATCTCCCCTCCCCCCCCCATGCCACGCTAATAACCTCCCCTCTTATTATCACTCTCCCAATGTACCTGAGAGAGAGAGAGAGAGAGAGAGAGAGAGAGAGAGGAGAGAGAGAGAGAGAGAGAGAGAGAGAGAGAGAGAGAGAGAGAGAGAGAAAGAGAGAGAAAGAGAGAGAAGAGAGAGAGAAAGAGAGAGAAAGAGAGAAAGAGAGAGAAAGAGAAAGAGAGAGAGAGAAGAGAAGAGAGAGAGAGAGAGAGCGAGAGAGAGAGAAGAGAGAGAGAGAGAGAGAGAGAGAGAGAGAGAGAGACCATGAAAATGGAGTAACCACCTCCAGGATCAGCAGACAAGATCCATGTTGAATATGTGATGTGAATCCCGGGGCCAGTGTTACAACACTCCCCACTCTCACTTCCCACTCATAACCACTCCCTCACCTATAATACCCACTTCCTCACCCATAACACCCACACCCTCACCCATAACAACCACTTCCTCATAGATAACCATTCCCTCACCCATAACACCCACTCCCTCACCCATAACACCCACTCCCCACCCATTAACACCCACTCCCTCACCATTAACAACCACTCCCTCACCCATAACACCACTCCCTCACCCATAACACCCACTCCCTCACCCATAACACCCACTCCCTCACCATTAACAACCACTCCCTCACCCATAACACCCACTCCCTCACCCTTAACTACTCCACCCATAACACCCACTCCCTAACCTTAACCACTCCTTCCCTCATAACCACTCCCTCACCCAAACAACCACTCCCTCACCAGAGCACCACTCCCTCACCCATAACACCCACTCCCTCACCCATAACACCCACTCCTCACCCTTAACAACCACTCCCTACACCCAATAACACCCACTCCCTCACCTTAACAACCACTCCCTCACCATAACAACCACTTCCCTCACCCATAACACCCACCCCTCACCCTAACAACCAATCCCTCATCCATAACACCCACTCCTCACCTTAACTACCACTCCTCACCATAACACCCACTCCCTCACCCTTAACCACTCCCTCAACCCATAACCCTTTCCTCTGCCATAACCACTCACCCATAATACCCACTCCCTCACCCTTAACAACCACTCCCTCACCCATAACCATTTCCTCTGCCATAACCACTCGCTCACCCATAACAACCACTCACACAAAACCACCCCATCACCCATAACAACTACCCCCTCACCCATAACCACTCGCTCACCCATAACCACTCTCACCCATAACCACCCCTCACCCATAACCACTCGCTCACCCATAACCACCCCCTCATCCATAACCACTCGCTTACCCATAACCACCCCCCTCACCCATAACCACTCGCTCACACCATAATCACTCGTTCACCCATAACCACCCTCTACCCATAACCACCACCCTCATCCATAACCACTCGCTTACCCCATAACCACCCCTCACTCCATAACCACTGCACCCATAAACACCGCTCACCCATAACCACTCGGTCACTCCATACCAACCACTCGCTCACCCATAACAACCACTCGCTCACACCATAACCACCCCCTCACCATAACAACCACCCCTCACCATAACCATCGCTCACCCATAGCCACTCGTTCACCCATAACAACCACTCTCTCACCCATAACCACTCGCTCACCCATAACAATCACTCGTTCACCCATAACAACCACCCCCTCGCCCATAACCACTCGCTCACCCATAACCACTCGCTCACCCAAAACAACCACTCGCTCACTCATAACCACTCGCTCACCCATAACCACTCGCTCACTCATAACCACTCCCTCACCCATAACCACTCCCCCACCCATAACAACCACTCGCTCACCCATAACCACTCCCTCATCCATAACCACTCGCTCACCCATAACCACTCCCTCACCCATAACCACTCGTCACCCATAACCACTCACCCATAACCACCCCTCACCCATAACCACTCCCTCACCCATTAACCACTCGTCACCCATATACCACTCACCCATAACCACCCCCTCACCCATAACCACTCGCTCACCCATAGCCACTCGTTCACCCATAACAACCACTCTCTCACCCATAACCACTCGCTCACCCATAACAATCGTTCACCCATAACAACCACCCCCTCGCCCATAACCACTCGCTCACCCATAACCACTCCCTCACCCATAACCACTCGCTCACCCATAACCACTCCCTCACACATAACCACTCGTTCACCATAACCACTCACCCATAACCACCACTCACCCATAACACTCGCTCACCCATAACAACACTCGCTCACCCATAACCACTCTCTCACCCATAACCACCCTCACCCATAACCACTCCACTCAACCATAACTACTCGCTCACCCATAAACCACTCACCCATAACCACCCCTCACCCATAACCACCCCCTCACCTATATAACCACTCGCTCACCCATAACCACTCGCTCACCCATAACAACACTCTCTCACCCATAACCACCCACTCACCATACCCACTCGCTCACCCATAACCACTCGCTCACCCATAACATCGCTCACCATAACCACTCGCTCACCCATAACAACCACTCTCTCACCATAACCACCCCCTCACCCATAACCACTCGCTCACCCATAATCACTCGCTCACCCATAACCACTCGCTCACCCATAACCACTCGCTCACCCATAGCAACCACTCGCTCACCCATAACCACTCGCTCACCCATAACCACTCGTCATCCATAACCACTCGCTCACCCATAACCACTCGCTCATCCATAACCACTCGCTCACCCCATAACAACACTCGCTCACCCATAACCACTCGCTCACCCATAACCACTCGCTCATCCATAACCACTCGCTCACCCATTACAACCACTCGCTCACCCATAACCACTCGCTCACCCATAACCACTCGCTCATCCATAACCGCTCGCTCACCCATAACAACCACTCGCTCACCCATAACCACTCGCTCACCCATAACCACTCGCTCACCCATAACAACCACTCGCTTACCCATAACCGCTCACTCACCCATAACAACCACTCACTCATAACAACCACTCGCTCACCCATAACCACTCGCTATCCAACCAAACACTCGCTCACCCATAACCACTCACTCACCCATAACAACCACTCGCTCACCCATAGCAACCACTCGCTCACCATAACACACTCGCTCATCCATAACCACTCGCTCACCATACAACCACTCGCTCACTCATAACAACCACTCGCTCACCCATAACAACCACTCACTCACCCATAACCACTCACTCACCCATAACCACTCGGTCACCCATAACAACCACTCGCTCACCCATAACAACCACTCGCTCACCCATAACAACCACTCGCTCACCCATAACCACTCGCTCACCCATAACCACTCTCACCCATAACAACCACTCGCTCACCCATAACAACCACTCATCACCATACAACCACTCATTCACCCATAACAACCACTCGCTCACCATACAACCACTCGCTCACCCATAACAACCACATCGCTCACCCATAACCACTCGTCTCCATAACCACTCTCTCACCCATAACCACTCGCTCACCCATAACAACCACTCCCTCACCCATAACACACCACTCCCTCACCTAACTACCACTCCCTCACCCATAACACCACTCCTCACCCACTTAACCACTCCCCCCCATAACCATTTCCTCTGCCATAAACACTCACCCATATACCCACTCCTCACCTTAACCACTCCCTCACCCATAACCATTTCCTCTGCCATAACCACTCGCTCACCCATAACAACCACTCACAAAAACCACCCCATCACCCATAACAACCACCCCTCACCCATAACCACTCGCTCACCCATAACACTCTCACCCATAACCACCCCTCACCCATAACCACTCGCTCACCCATAACCACCCCCTCATCCATAACCACTCGCTACCCATAACCACCCCCTCACCATAACACTCGCTCACCCATAACCACTCGTCACCCATATCACCCTTCACCATAACACCCCTATCATAACCACTCGCTTACCCATAACCACCCCCTCACCATAACCACTAGCTCACCATAAACACTCGCTCACCCATAACCACTCGGTCACCCATACCAACCACTCGCTCACCCATAACAACCACTCGCTCACCCATATCAACCACCCCCTCACCCATAACAACCACCCCCTCACCCATAACACACCTCACCCATACCACTCGTTCACCATAACAACCACTCTCTCACCCATAACCACTCGCTCACCCATAACAATCACTAGTTCACCCTAACAACCACCCCTCGCCCATAACCACTCGCTCACCATAACCCTCCCTCACCCATAACACTCGCTCACTCATACCACTCGCTCACCCATAACCACTCGCTCACTCATAACCCTCCCTCACCCATAACCACTCCCTCACCCATAACAACCACTCGCTCACCCATAACCACTCCTCATCCCATAACCACTCGCTCACACCACACTCCCTCACCCATAACCACTCGTTCACCCATAACAACCACTCACCCATAACCACCCTCACCCAAAACCACTCTCACCATAACCACTCGTTCACCCATAACCACTCACCCATAACCACCCCTCACCCATAACCACTCGCTCACCCATAGCCACTCGTTCACCCAATAACAACCACTCTCTCACCCATAACCACTCGCTCACACCATAACCACTCGCTCACCCATAACCACTCCCTCACCCATAACACTCGCTCACCCATAACCACTCCCTCACCCATAACCACTCGTTCACCCTAACCACTCACTCATAACCACCCCCTCACCCATAACCACTCGCTCACCCATACAACCACTCGCTCACCCATAACCACTCTCTCACCATAACCACCCCCTCACCCATAACCACTCCCTCACCCATAACCACTCGCTCACCCATAACCACTCACCCATAACCACCCCTCACCCATAACCACCCCCTCACCTATAACCACTCGCTCACCCATAACCACTCGCTCACCCATAACAACCACTCTCTCACCCATAACCACCCACTCACCCATACCCACTCGCTCACCCATAACCACTCGCTCACCCATAACCACTCGCTCACCCATAACCACTCGCTCACCATAACAACCACTCTCTCACCATAACCACCCCCTCACTCCATAACCACTCGCTCACCCATAACCACTCGCTCACCCATAACAACCACTCGCTCACCCATAGCAACCACTCGCTCACCCATAACCACTCGCTCACCCATAACCACTCGCTCATCCATAACAACCACTCGCTCACCCATAACCACTCGCTCATCCATAACCACTCGCTCACCCATAACAACCACTCGCTCACCATAACACTCGCTCACCCATAACCACTCGCTCCCCCCATAACCACTCGCTCATCCCTAACCACTCGCTCACCCATTCAACCACTCGCTCATCCATAACCACTCGCTCACCCATAACCACTCGCTCATCCATAACCGCTCGCTCACCCATAACCACTCGCTCACCCATTACAACCACTCGCTCATCCATAACCGCTCGCTCATCCATAACCACTCGCTCACCCATTACAACCACTCGCTCATCCATAACCGCTCGCTCACCCATAACAACCACTCGCTCACCCATAACCACTCGCTCACCCATAACCACTCGCTCACCCATAACAACCACTCGCTCACCCATAACAACCACTCACTCACCCATAACCACTCGCTCACCCATAACCACTCGCTCACCCATAACAACCACTCGCTCATCCATAACCACTCGCTCACCCATAACAACCACTCGCTCACTCATAACAACCACTCGCTCACCCATAACAACCACTCACTCACCCATAACAACCACTCACCCATAACCACTCGGTCACCCATAACCACTCGCTCACCCATAACCACTCGCTCACCCGTAACAACCACTCGCTCACCCATAACCACTCGCTCACCCATAACAACCACTCTCTCACCCATAACAACCACTCGCTCACCCATAACAACCACTCACTCACCCATAACAACCACTCATTCACCCATAACAACCACTCGGTCACCCATAACCACTCGCTCACCCATAACCACTCGCTCACCCATAACAACCACTCGCTCACCCATAACAACCACTCGCTCACCATAACAACCACTCGCTTACCCATAACAACCACTCCGCTCACCATAACCACTCGCTCACCCATAACCACTCGCTCACCCATAACAACCACTCGCTCACCCATAACAACCACTCGCTCACCCATAACAACCACTCGCTCACCCATAACAACCACTCGCTCACCCATAACAACCACTCGCTCACCCATAACAACCACTCGCTCACCCATAACAACCACTCGCTCACCCATAACAACCACTCGCTCACCCATAACAACCACTCGCTCACCCATAACAACCACCCTCGTAGTAACATATTACTGTTAAGCTCAAAACCCGCAAGTCATCGCTATAATTAAACACACGCATATTTATAACTGTTGTGGGAGAGATTTGCTGCAGCAGCTGATAAAGTGTGGAAGAGGAAGACGAGGATGACGACGAAGAGGAGGAGGGAGGATGACCAGAAAGAGCAGGCGTAGGAATTAGAAATAATGAAAGGAGAAAGGTCAAGGTTCGCTGAAGGAGAAGAGAAGACAGGAACAGAATTAATAAGAGGAAAAAGTGGAGTAGGAATCGGAAGTAGGAAATTAGGAAGAGCTGGAAACTTGATGAAAGAGGAATTAATAAGACGAAGGAAGGGGTGAGGCAGGGGGAGAGACCGGGAAGAAAAATAACGAGGAAGGAAGGGGAGAGAAGGAATGAGAGAAGGAGAAAGGAGGGGTGAGCGTGAGAAAAGGAATTGAAGGGGAAGGTTAGCTTTGCCTAGCTTAGCTTAGCTTAGCTTAGCTTAGCTTAGT